TCCTGCTGTCCATTTTGGGAAGTAGGTGAGACTAAATGCCAAGTTTCTGGTTTGCCTATTTGCTGATATTTCTGAGCATGCTGCAACAAAACCCAGCCCTTCTCCTCACTACCACCCTCCCACCCCAGACATTAGGATTATATAGAATAAGCCACCCATTAGGAAAAATGATTTTTTCATGAACATTCCAGTGTACCTAGGGACCTTTCCAGACAGATTTCTAAATGTCTGTAAACATCTTTAAAGGTCTGCTTTGAACCAAGATGCAAAGAGATGCCAAGTGGGATTTTAAAAGCCCTTACAATAGCAATATCACTTTGGCACTTAGTTTTCTTAAAGTCCTGTTGATGCCTAAATGTGTCTTTGGGAATCTGCACCCTGTTGGTTTTCTGACTGCCCCTTCTCTCTTCCCACTGGAACAGCCCACTAATTTAGCTCAACAACAGTATTAGATGCTTAAGAATCCATAAAGCTCCAGGAAACCAATTTTTTTTTAAGTTCTCCTGCTCACAAAATTACTAGTTCTGTATAAAGCTACCACAGAACTTTAATTTTCTGCTCAAATATACAAATTTGGGATAGCCAGATGACCTTTTTTTAGTCTTAATGATCTAGTATGGAAAAGAAGCTCAATAGGTTAATTAGATGTTTTGTATGAAAAAGGGCACAGTTTAAATAGATTGGGGTGGAAAATTGGGGTGACTTAACAACAGACAGAAATCCTGTAGAGCAGTGAAGGGCAACTGATGGCAAAATTTCTGTACCTGACAGAGGGAGGCTTTTGGGGCAGTGAGCCAGTGAAACACAAGTGAACAGCTTAATTTTTTTAATTAACAGTCATTTGTATTTATGCTAATGCAGAAAGGCTTCACAGCATTTCGAAGCCTCACTGTATCAGGCTTTCTACAAACACAAAATAAGGAAATACAGAGGAAGTTTAGTGAGGCAGCTGAACCTGATGGTAAAATGTCACTTTCAGAAAAAGTGAAATGCAGTTTATAAGCCTAGAGCCAGCTCAAGGTGCATTCCTTAAATTTTGCTGAAGTCTTGTTTTCAGAACATTTGTGGAATTGAAGTGGGGCATCATTGTGTAGTCAAGGTGCCGAAAGGTACTTTATTCTGATGGTTAAAGTCATAACAAGGATCAGTGGCAGGAATCTTCCTATCTAGACATCATATAGATTCAGTTTTCTGAACAGCAGGTTTAAACTGCACTGTTACACTTTCTCAAATCCAACTCCTGCAAAGGAAGGCAGTACAGTCTGCAGCAGTTTCACACACCAAAGAGAAATCATGCCCTATGTCAGGTGTGATGACAGACAAAAAATACTCCTGAGCAGAGTATTTACTACTCCTATTATTAGCTGGGGATAGAAAGGATACTATGAATGGCTAAGATCAAACACAGGACGGGGGGAAAGGAACAGAAAGGAATCTGCACACTTGGCTAAATATGATTTAGTTTGTTAAAGCCTGTCCTCTCTGGAGATACAGTCAATTAGTTATGTTACTTATGGTTTATTTTCTTTTCTTACTACTGCAATTTAAATCCAATTCAACTAGATAGAGATATTTACTGGCTTTCTGTAGTAGTGACTTTACTGTAAGGCTAATTTGAGTTATGTCTTCCAAAATTTATGGCTATATGAATAATTTCTTTTCCAATACGGTGATCAAGATAGAAAAAGACAATTTGTTTCACACTAATGTAAGTTAAACTTTCTTTTTTGAAGAGTAGTTTAACAAAATCAGAAAATAGGAAAATTAGATTCAGATCAACTTAACATATTTCACTTTTTAAAAAATTGGTTTACCCTCTGAAAAATGTTTCCCTTTGTTTTAAAGACATTAGTCAGTTCCAAAATGAAAAATACTGTTTAGATGTGAAAAGTTGACAAGTTGTTGGGTTTTTTTCCTTGAAAGTCATGAAAAAGAAGTATCTTAACATTTTCAACATTCTTTCCCATGTTTTTTGGCTATAACTATTCTTTAGATTTGAAATATCAATTTCATAGAGAGTTTTGTTCTTCCAAAACTTTATTTTCTGGCAAAACGAGTGCTCTATAAAAACCAGTTGCCCAGTTCCACTCAAATTACCTCTCTTGAGTTAGTTTGGCTGGTGTGGAAATGCCACACAGTGACATTTCCCTTACATGACTGATGTTGCATACCTTCATGTACGGCATTTCTTAGCACAATTCTTAGCACCACTGTAAACTGAGCTACAGATTTCTTTACCATTGGAGAATTTATCTTGCCTGGGCACATGGAAGGAATTACAGAAAGGGCTAAGGACTTCACTTATATTTTAGCCTGTCTCCTTCCCAGGTGAGTCAAACTGAGTTAAAAGTGCCACTGTGCTCAAGTTAAGAGGTTATACGTGTGTGTGGGCAGAACTCAAACCAAAAGCAACATTACTTGAGCCAAGAAAGCTGTACAGACAAGCTATAGGCTGTCTTAGGTAGAGTCATACTTGAAGGGTTATCAGCAGAGCTATAGTATTGCAAATTTATGGCAATGTATTAAGGCCAGTAAACGCCTTCATGCCCACATAGACACTGTGTTTCCAAGTGCCTAATCTGGAGGTAATGTGTAAAAAAGGAAAAAAAGAAAACAAAGAAACCATTAATTCAGGAACAGTTGTGAACTAAAGGTGTTCAAAATAATACAAACAGACATTATATTGACTTTATAGCTCCCTTTCTCCCTTTCTTGCCCTCAGTTCACCTGCCTGATTGGTTACTTCCTGAAGGAAAAGCTTCTGGAAAGTGATTTTTCTCTTGTTTGATCAGGGGTGTGGAAGAGATGTTGTTGCAAACACGATTTTTGTTTTAATTTAGAAAAACAACCACTATGATTTTATCTGTTTATTCAACTTTGATTTATTTTTATGCTACACTGCCTCCCTGCTTTTCCAAGACCTGAAGCAGTAGCATCAGGAACATATTCCACATCTTATTTATCTCTAAGGAAATCTGTGGGTGCCCTATTTATCTTTAGAGAAGAATTTTGGGGTGTATATGTGTCCTAAATGATAGTGATTCTGAGAAATGGGAAGCAGGTAATCAGAGGAGCAGTCAATCTTAAATGTTGAAGCCTGTTCTTGTTTAAAATTTTCACTTACACTGTTTTCTTAAATAAGGAATCTAATTTTCAACTCAACTAGGCTTTTGGGAAAATGATTGCCTTCCAAAGAAAATGTTAATACCCTGTCAAAACTCTGAGCACTCCCAAACTGAAAATACATTAGCTGAACATGGAATTATGTCAACATTTTCATTACAAAAGGAGCTGTGGTGCTTTGCAACACTTCTCAACTGACTGCCTCATGCTCTTGCTCCCTTTCAGTGCAGTGTGGAATCAAGCTTCATCTTCCATGATTGTTCCCTTCCCTTCTTCTTGATGGCAAATAGAGATGAGTCATCAGAGGTCCTTGCCATGACACATCATGGGAGATTAATTCCCTGTTTTGAGTGAAGTGCTGTGACTATAGGTTCTGTGAAATACAAATGTCAAGTTGTATGGCTTTTTGTCGGACTCTGTTAGTTGTTTTGGTTTTCTTTCCAGCTTTCTCAAAAGATTTTTACTTAATCCCATCACTGTAGGCCTGCATGTATCTACCAGCAAACAGTATGGAAATCCATCTTGTAAAGATCCAAGACGCAGTTCCTTCTCATTTCATGAACTCCTTGTTACAGCTTAGTCTGGTCCTCAGTAAAAGCCACATGCTCATAAGCCCAGGCTGTGAATGAAGAATAGCGCACATTTTCTGGCTAACTGCAAACAGGTAGTCTCCAGAGTCCAGTAGGATTGAAGGTTTGTGGACTCTTGCACACATTGGGAGATTAATCTTCCCAGGTCTACAAATTGGGACCAGCAGCCCTCCAAACTGGAGAGAGCTTTTAATGTCCTTGTGCTCTTTCTATAGTTACTCTGTGTAACCAAATACTCAGCTGGGCTATTCATAGTCATGTCATTGATGGTGCTGTCCTTTGACCTTAATAATCTACTGAATTACCCACTGAAGCAATGCCAAAAAAGCAATGAGTTACATGATTTATGCTTGGTGATTACAGAGGGAGTCTCCCAATAAGCAGGGAGAGCAAGATTCTTCCTTGAAGAGCAGGGAGGTTGCAGCAGGGACTTTGGCTGTAGCTTTCACTTCAACACTCAGTTCCAGGGAACACGGAAAAGGTGTTTACTTTTGCATTTTAGTATTTTTGTTTAACAGATAACTTTGGCCAAGGGAGCTTCAATCCCACATGAAGTGCATGTACAGACTTAAAATACCTGTTTTACAAAACAGAAGCAGGGTCTTAAAAGCCTTTTTATAGGTAGAATGGAAGCTTTAAGGGGGAAATACAGCTTTCATTATGAAGCTCCTTTTACAGTGACTCATTAATTTCTCATAGATGTATCCTTTGTGCTGCATTTTTTCATGTCTGATCTCTGTCCAGAGGTGATATTTATGAAGAAAAAAAGAACAGTTAAGCAAAATCTACTAATCATCATCATTCTTGTCTCTATACCTAAACAAGAAATTCTGTATATGCTCCAGTCCAAACTTTTTGAGTCGTTGTAGGTTACCTGAAACACCAAGGTCTTCATTCAAGCACAGCTTGTTTTGAAAACTGCATTCTTATCTCAAGGGTGCTGTGTTATCTTCAGAGATGTCATCTGTGGGCACCTTGGGAGTTCTGCACTGCAGAAGTTACTTCTTGCATTCAGAGTTTGGTATATGCTTACCTTTTTCTTAGGCCTTTGAAGGGTTCAGAATGAGGCTTATCTAGCCATGTAGTTGGCTGTGAGGTGTGAATAATTGACAGATGAAGTTGCAAAGGCTTTACAAAGACCAGTGGATCTTTTGAGACAGCTAGGAGCTTCTGAAAATTTTTGTCTCTTCTTATATCAAGCAAAACCTTATTGTACAGCAATAAGGCTGGTTAGAACAGTTGCTATGATCTTTCAGGTGGTATTTTTCAGATTTAAAATTATTTTCTTGTATCCCACAGGGGGTGGGGAAAGCTGGCACCAACCGCGCCCTGGACTGTGGCTCTGGGATAGGTCGTATCAGCAAGCACGTCCTGTTACCAGTTTTCAAGAGTGTGGAACTGGTGGATATGATGGAGAATTTCCTGGCTGAGGTCCCGAACTACCTGCAGGGCAAGGAGGACAGAGTAGAGATGTATTATTGCAAAAGCCTCCAGGAATTCACTCCAGCCCAACAGAGATATGATGTCATCTGGATTCAGTGGGTTTCAGGTTAGTTCAGTGTGATTTATCCAGCCCAGCACCTTAGAGAACTATACAGCCTGTGCTAAGGTTTGTGCTAAAAGAATGATGCTGCTGTAAAAAGAGGTTCTCAAATCTTTGGGACTGCTTCCTAAAATCTCACAAGAGACTTCTGAGAGTTCTCCCCAGCCACACGCACAGTGGGTATGAGCCAAGTTGTTGGTTTTTTTCAGGTCACGTACTGGAGGAAAGTACATGTTCTTGGAGAGCAGCCTGCATGATAAGGTGCAGCTGAGCAGTAGGCTTTATATATGGATTTTCTTGAGCAGGAATACTCCTTAGTTGCCAATGCTGCAAACAGATACATGGGGTTGGCCTCACCTGTGAGCAGGGATTTCTGAATCTGATGATTATCCAGACTTGAGGGTATTTCAGGAAACAATATGAAAAAAGCCATAGTGAAATCATCAATACCTACAAACAAAATCATAACTTATACATGCACTGACACTTACCAACAGTTTCACTTAGCTGTGTCCCACGGTACCTGCGCATATAAGAAATACCTGCTTCTTCTCCCGCAGCCACCCCAGTTTATACCCTGCAGCATTAAGGGCAGCAGACTGGCAATCAGATAATGTGGGCCATGTTCCTCACAACAACAACAACAAAAAAATCTTAATTTTTTTATAGAAAACCTGCTGCAGTGCCTAATTGTCCTTCCAGAAAGAAGCTTTGCTCCTAATCTGTGAACATGGTGCAGTTTCAGCTGGCAGAAGTCACTCTTCTAAAGCACAAGAGGAGGCCTAAACAACTCCTTCTCTCCAAAGCCCTGGAGATAGTTTCTTGCTAGGCAGAAGGAAAGATAAAGTTAGAGAGATTAGCACAGGAGATTGTTTTATTCAGGAACATTTATTTTTACTCTGCACATGGTCTTAAAAATGAAACTGGACTTCTTAGAGCATGTCTTGATAGCTATACAGGAAAATTCCTTCAGAACAGTGTGATTTTAATTTGTATTTTTGCTCTTCTTGAATAACTTGTCATTGCAGTAAATGTGGCTCCTGCCTCATCTTTTGAGCAAATCCCAGTCAATACGAGGCTGAATGAGCTAAGGCTTGTCTGAGGCTGTGCTGGTCAGCTGTGTGGCTGCTAATGAAGGGAGCATTTGCCTTTTATTTAGCATAGACACAGATTTGAGTCTCCTTCCTCTGTCAGTTTCAATGAAATATGTAGTAACACTAAGTTCCAAGTTAAGTGGTCAAAAGCTTCAATGAATCTTGCTGATGCAATCTTGATTTATCTTATGTATGCACAAGTATATAAACCCAGGCTGTTATTTTATGAAACAACAAAAATGCAAGTTTACATTTCATATAGAAGTTACCATTTCCCTTCAATTTGAAAGGTATTCAGCTTTAGCCTTTGGGGCTTTTTTCTTTTTATTATTTTTTTTTTGAGAGTGGTTAGAAAACCTGACATGCCATGTCAAAATGTGGTTTTGAAATGACAACTTCAATTTATAAAAGTTTAAATCTTCCATCAAGAAAACTAAATATTTTGACTAGAAAATACAAACAAAGATTTTTTTCAAGTTTTTCATTCAGATTCTGACCACCTGTCCTTGTTAATTCATTTTAGCTGTTTCATGTGAGAGTTCTCATTTTGCCCTGTACTACTGATCTTGACATAACAGAAGTGTTGATCTTTGAGAGGATGGATAAAAACCACAATCTCAATAGCATATTGAAAAAAGTACTAGTCTAAAATGTGTATGGTATATGCAGAAATCACAACTGTATGTGATAGTATCAAGAGCTTCTTTGGCAGTTTGGAAGGTCTTGCATTTCTCACTGAATCTCTAATCCAGAGCTCCTTTGATGGGTACATAATGTTATGCAAAGTTATAGAGATTTGCAGTATTAAAAGACAGAAGGGACTGTTAGTTTTACCTACTTTATATCACAAGCTGTTATATTCACTCCTTAACCCTTGTACTGAGCCAGTAGTTTGTGTTCAATTAAAACATATCTTGAGAAAGTCAACCACACTTGATTTGAGGACTTCAAGAGGTGGTAAACACCACTTCTGTTGGTAGTTTCCAATGGGTAATTACTTACACTGTTAAACAGTTGTCACTTATTTCCAATATGAATTTGTTTGGCTCCAGTTTCCTGCCACTGATTCTTATTATGACTTTAACCACCAGATTAAAGAACCCTTCAGCACCCAGTATTTTCTCCACTATTCCCTTTGACTTTTGTCTTCCTCTGTTGCTACTACTAATATGGTTCCTAAATATTGACTTGAGTTTGTAATTGTTGATCCCAGTGATTTGCCCAAGATTTAATAATTAAATCTGCAGGACTAGAACTTCTCCTGCAACAAATAGGCTATGGAGACTCAGATCAAGGCACCATTCTGTACAGGGGAGTCTGTTTGAATGGTTAATAGTGATCTATTTTCCATCTTTTCATCTGTAGGATATCTGACAGACAAAGATCTCCTGGAGTTTCTCATCCGGTGCCAGAATGGCTTGAAGGATAATGGTGTTATTATTCTTAAGGACAATGTAGCCAGGGAGGGTTGTATCCTGGATTGTCTGGATAGTAGTGTGATCCGGGACCTGAACATCCTCCACAGCCTCATTGAAATGAGTGGACTCACCATCCTACGAGAGGAGAGGCAGGAGGGATTCCCTGAACAGTGTGTCCCTGTCTGGATGTTGGCCATGCAGAAATGCCCTGGCCATTCCTGATTGCGTAGTGAGACTGCAGAGACTGGACGATGGATGAACCTCAGGACTGGGAAGGAGAAAAGCATCTACTAGAATCCTCCTAACCATGCACTGCTACTACTACAACTCTAGGGCAACAACTCCTAAAGGATCAGAAGAGAATTACAATTGAGCCAGCTTCTTCAGAGAATATAGTCTGCTTCTAAATCCTGTCTGCTACATCATTCTCTCCACTTTTATGAGCCTTTCTCACAACTCCTTGTCAGATCCCTCTTTCATTGAGGAGTCAATACTGGACAACTTACAGAAAATAATTAGGTCTGAAGTTTCTGTAGTGGCTAATACATTTTGGAGTGTTCTGTATGAAGTGTTAACAAATAAGCCTGGTTTTTACACTTAAATCTTCTTGGAATTTAAGAAGGATCTGTCAAATCACTGAAGCAGGAAATTCAAATAACTTCTGGAAAAGCTAACCCAAATTTTGACTGTCATCACTATCTGCTCTTTAAAATATTTAAATCAAAAATGTAAAGAAAGTTTTATCCGTTAGACAACCTGGTGAATTTTCCATTTTGCAGGACTACTTTATCTTCTTGTTGTTTCTGCCGTAGAACAATAGTGGTGCAAAAGGGTTTTTACACTCCAGGGGAAAACTTAGATGACAAATATAGGCCTGTTTGCATTGAAATTTTGTGAAAAGATTGCCCCACAAATTACATTCTGGAAAATATTTTTTCAAAATGTTTGCAGTGGAAACCACTTGAAAGCATCTCTTTATTATTCATACCACTGTAAAGTTCTTTCTTTCCCACATTCAGAACAAGTCTGGCACCATATGCAGAGCTAATGGGATTTCATGGGGTGTTAATAGTAAGACTGTAAGAAGAACTAATACAGTATTGTATTAATTAACAACTCTACTAAGCTGCAGAGGGTGTTAGAGTAACCCCAAAACATCTATGATTTATAGTCAAACAGCAGCTGTATAAGCCTGAATTTGAAAATACTAACACACATGCCATCTCCTTAAGGATCACAGAATTTACACATTGAGCTTCTTGTCCCCTTCAGTTAGGCACAGAAAGTGCTGTGGGAGGACAGCATTTTGCAAAACAAATCAGAATTTGAAATTTTGCCTTATTCTAAATGAGAACAAAAAGGGAGAATTTTTAAATTCCTTAAGGAATGAAAACCACGCAATCACAACTGGGTTTTCCAAGTTGATTAAAATTTTTCATTCAGACAAAATAAAATTTTTCTTTTCAGTTTGACTCTTAAAACAATTGGCACTTAAAATATTAAATGCAGTAAAAACCAAATTAAATATGGCTTGTTCCAAATCTTGGAAATGAATGATAACCACAGAAAGGACTGTTCTGACCCGGATGGATTTTTTTTCATGTTTTATTCCCCCGAAATGCTATTCTGGCATAAGTTACCAGACTTTTTAAAAAGTTGCATTATGAAACCCCTCTGGGTTCTGATGGAAAGGGGTTCTATGAAACATCCTCCTCATGCCTGTAGGCACAACTTCCTGCATCAAATACTGTCATCTGTGTTAGATTAACTCATATAGGAGTCTGAAGATAACGAGATCAGGGAACCTCTCAGCTGGATTTTAGTAGTCTTTGCCATCCTTTGATAACAAATCTCCAGTTTTGATATTAATTGCATAACTCATCTTCTCTAGCAATATGGCTGCATATGTTCAGAATTTCCAGTTTATGGCAGAGGGCTTCCTGCTGTCAAATCTTATCCAGTAGTTGTTCTCTTGATGTGCCATCGCTAATTGCAGCATTAAGGAGAACAGCCCTGGTGATTCAGTGAACGTTGTGGCGTGTCATATAACCTGGAAATCTATGGTTCCCATGGTGCAGATGCTTCTGGAATGTTTTGGCTAATTCTTCCATTCCAATCAACTGGGAGTGGATGTAAATTTAGTATATGAATAACATTGTTAAAAACCTTAGGTGAACACAACGTTTTGGAGTTGTCCCCAGGGATAAGTGCTTCAAATTCCCTTTAATTCCCTGCAATGCTTTCATTCTGCCCAGGCTGCTAAAAGCTGGTGTGGTCTTTGCATGCATATGAGTGTGTGCAGATATGTGAAGGAAACCCAGTCATCTGTTTTACAGGAAAGAAGCATCAGTCCTATAGTTAGTAACACTGGTTAGCAGTAACAGAAGAATTTTTACCTAACACTGGTTAGCAGTAACAGAAGAATTTTTAAGAGGCCTTTACATGGATTACAAATCAATTTGTCCTTCACCATTTTTTTCCTCCAGCCAGAGATATCTGCTATGGTGCAGAATATTTGGGGACTGCTGGAGATCCTAGTACAGTTGTGTCTGTGCCAGCCGTAGCTGAATGGTGTTGGTCACTACAATGGTGAGAGAAAAGCATTGTGGAAACAGGGAAGTAGACAATTTTATACAAATCTAAACAGCTGCCACATCTCACAGTGCAGAATGTATCAGCTGTTCACTCGCATGCTAAAGTGGGTGCAGTTCAGTAATGAGAGATGGGATTCCAAGATGGATATAGAATATAAAGTGTTTTAGGATGAAAGGTAGAATATAAATGACCAGTACAGTTATCAGTGAAATACATTTGTCAAGGTAAAAACTGTTCTTCCTGTATTTTGTACATCCTACCCATTTGAACTTCCAGATTATATGTACATAAACATATAATGAAATTGGTTCCCTTAACTATGTGAGAACAGAGACAAGTAAAATCTTAATTTAGTAGAAAACCCCATATTTCATGGTTCCCACATTCCTGGAAATTAATGTTTCATGGCTATGTTGCTTCCACAGTAAAATATTAAAGCTTTTCTGGTGACATAATGAACCACAAGAGTAAAGAAATACAAGCCCCCCAGAGACTTAAATGGATGAGATTGCTGCAGACTGAATAATATTTTGGTTTCCTCTTTTTGCAAGGTATATTTAATTCAAGAACTCCCAGTCAACCAGTGAAGGCCACACTCAAATGTTCATAAGTTTGAGTAAGGGCCATTCTTGGCTTAAAAGATCAGGACTCTCTGGACTTTACCATAGTATACAATAATGAATCAGAAATTTCAAACAGAAGATCTTACTTCAATATCATCTGTGTATCATTTGCTCTTTGGTGTTCAAAGACTGGATAATCAACTCAGTTGCTCTGCCTCTACTTTCAAGGCTATTTAAACCATGCATTTGAGGAAGTCTTTAGCTTATCAGATTGCAGTGGGAGTTTGAACCCATTTGTTTGGTGCTCATTTAAGACTCATTCATTTATCTTGACGTTACCAGGAATTTAATCCGAGATCCAGACCCTGTCTGAGGTCACAGAACATTCAGGGTCCTTCAAGCTCAAGCCCTCACTCACCACCAACAGGTAATTTGTGAAATATCCAATTAGTCCTTCAATCAGATGTTTCTCCCAGGCAAGCACTACTCAAATAAATGCTTAGCCAAAGTGTAGTAAAGGCAAATTCTATCCTGTCACCACCAAAGCTCTTGTCAATGCTTGGTTTCCCTGTGTTAGTTCCAGCGTCTCTATTCTGTGTGACTGAAGGCCAGATATTATCTTTATTATCTGACTGTAAGGTTCCTTGCAAAAGAGATACTCAAGCCCTCACAGTAACCCCCAAATACTACTGCAACCTAAACAAAATGTAAGGAAGCAAATATTACTGCACGCTGAACAGCAGTCCCAGTTGTGCATCTCCAGCAACCATCAAAGCTCAAGCTGTTTGTGCTCCAAAGACAAATCAGACATTACAAATGTCCTTTCATTCCTAATTGGAAGAGAGAGCCATCATTTTGAAACGTAACACTGAATGGATGTTCTAAAATATTTTAATACTGCAATTGTCATATCAAATATTTTTAGTTTGACTTTTTTTTTTAATCTTTGTATAAGTGAGTCTCAACCGACATGTTATGTAAGATGATAATATAATGTATTATATAGTATTGTAACAGTTGAAGTACCACATTGGTTTCCTACAGAATATACCAATAAAATCAGTACATTCCCAGCTCCCATATTTAGTGAAACACGTCAGCAATTCCCAGAGAAAACAGTCATTTCAAGAGAAACAGTCCTGTCAAGAAGTATTTGCCCAGGCTCTTTCTCCAGATGTATCTCATCCATTCAGGCAGCTTGCAGTGTGCCTGGTCTAGGGAGCAGCCATCTTAGGCTCTTTGACAGCAAGAAAAAGGAACTGGCACCTCTGGAGCAACTGAGACCACCTCAGAGCTGAACTGGCTTGAAATAAGAGTCTTCCCTTTCTCTGATGGTTGTACAGTGGGAATGAAAGTGCATCCTTTTTGTAACCAATTTGCATCTTCATTGTTGATGTCAAACAGAAGTGCAGAGTTATCTGACGAGCTGTGACACTCAAAAACAGAGAAATGCATGGACTTGCATAACCAAACACCCCTTAAAAATCAAAGTCCAGGGCACTGCTTTAATATCACTGCATAATGCCAGCTGACAAAGCTTTCCCAGTTATGCCACCAAGTGCCCTGAGTACCTTTATTCCATTAATTTGTTGTTTCCATTCTCTTAATCCAGGCTCCCCAGGGCATTTACAATGGTGTATCAGACAGTAGGCCTGTCCAGAGGAACTTGACTGTTCTGTGTGATTAAAACCAGTTGTGTTGTATCCCATCCCTCTTCTCTTCCCTTGATGCTTCTTCCATCTTGCCAAGAAAATCCCTCCTCCACTTGCCAAAAATTATTTGTTCTCTGTGGACATCACCACATCTCACTGAAGTAAAACAGATTACCTTTCATTTTAAGAGGAGATAATTCTATTTATCTGAGAGCAATAACAACGTGCTGTATTTCAAACATACAGGTTAATATCTGTCTCTTTCAGTTGATGTCAAGTAGGCACTCCCAAGCCTTTGTACCAAACAAAGCTCATCTCATCACCATAAATAACAATATTTGTAGGACACTGCATTGCTAGACCTTGAAGCACACTGCATCCTGGTGTTTGTTATAAGGAAACTGAGGCACAG